ATGTAACCGGTTTTTTGGCTTATTACTCTCGGAAATGCCTCACTCACATTAGTTATCAAAGGGATAACCCTGTAAGACTACAGTAAGTGCAACCTGAAGAAACTTGAGCTGTAAATGAAATGGGATAAATAAAATGAACAACAACAACAAACACTGCAACAAATAAATGAGGAGAAAGTGACGAGAAAAAAAAACCGTGTACTGACTGTATAAAATACACTCATAATTGTCTTTTCCCGCGTAACTAATTTTTAGTCAAGTTTGGGTTTCAAGTAAATCAATTGCTATTGAAATTGGCTATTTTTCAGTTTGTCTTATCCTTGCGCAGAAGAAAAACAAGTTGCAGTCTGAAACATTAAATCTTTTTCGTATGCTGAGAAAAGAGGGTTAGTCTTTAGGTGGTAATGAAGCCAATGCGTTAATCACTGTTACTAAACCTTGTCCTAAATGCAGCGATCTGAAAATGAGTTTCAACTCCGCAAACCGCTTCTACAAAGAGAACACAATTAAAAAAATTAAACTATATTTACTAATCAGCTTTTGAACGAGTTGTATTTTGAATTTTTATTAATTTGAATTTTTCATTCCCAGAATCGAATCGAATGTGCCACGAGGAGTCCCACGCGGATGAGTCCTGGGTCCCATGCTTCGGCATGAAAACGAGGTTGACAGAACCAACATGGCTGCCGCTCTGGGAATGCCAAGTCATTCTGAACAAACCAAAATGATGTCTTCTTCAGATTATCCAGACTGGCTTACAGCAGAACATAGAACTGGAGTAAGTAAATTTTTTATGATTCTACTTTTTTGTGTGTTTTTTTTTTTCAATATAATTTCATTTGACGTCGTGTTTTAGACAACAATCATGGCTGTTGAATTCGATGGCGGCGTGGTGATAGGAGCTGATTCACGTACAACTACTGGGTGAGCTGTTTTTCCTAAATTTCCCTATTTAATTTCATATGTAAGCATTTGCATGTAATGTAACACAAGATCGGAATAAATTTAACATTCAAGCGAACTTTTGTTTACATGGGCATGAAAGTGGCAATGTAAGTTGTATTCACCAGCACATGATCGACATCAAACTCTAAATCTTGAATTTCCCCAGAACTGATTATTTTACATAAGGTCTCATTCTCTAACCTACTTCTAAACGAACAAAGGGCAGTTTTTCTTCTTCTTGGTTGCTACCTCTCAGATGCAACAAACCCTTCTTCCTCTTGAAATAGCACCTAATTAGAAAACTTGACAAGATTTATTAGTAGTGAGTAAACGCAACAGGACGTCAGGAAGAAGAGGACAGCAAAACGCTTGTGCATGACAAACGTGATGGACCTGTTACTTGCGTGTTTTGTTGTGATCTTCACTTAACAGTAATGTTTTCTAGTCTTTTACAAAAAGATCTGTTTTAAGCAAAGTGAAAGTTTGGTGAAAATTAGTTCAAACAAAATTATTGTCACGCTTGTCACACAAGGTTGTCTTCTCTGCTCTCCAGCTGTCCCGTTGCATAAGTATGATATGTCAGAGACGGTAACAGGTTGTTTTGCATTACGGAACGGCGCCTGTAGATCCGTGTCGCCCGCAAAATCGCGGGTCCCATGACTATTTGCGCGCTCACAAAGGAAGCCGACGCATGTCGCGTCCTTTGATTCAAGACTCAAGTGTTAGGGTATTGTTTCCATGATACAAAGGTAATTTAACTTAAGAAAATCTATAGATCGAAGCTTTCACACTACTCTCTGTTTTATAAGGAAATGCAAACGCTCAACTTGATAAATATTTTGACTTCATAAGATATTTTAACGATTTAGGCCAGCAGAATGTATAGCATTCCAGAAAAACAATTCAGGAAGCCGAACGGTTTGGAACTGCGCTACACGTTGTTTTTATCAGTATGCAAATCACCTACCCAATCACATACTTTCCATTGAACTGAAATATCCTGACTTTTTTTTACCACTTTTCAATTTGATTCATTTCATTTTATATTATTTTGTGCAAGCTGAGCTCTTTCATACGAATTTACGCTTTCAAAAGGAAAAACATTGAGGAAACGTTGTGTTTACGACCACGGCAATTTGTATCTATTTCGCTTCACTTACGCTTATATGCAAATTACTGTTCATCCGCCGGATTTCGCTGGAGACAAAAATATCAATTTTGAATTCCCAAATGCTTGCCTTTTGGGGCACCCTTTTTATTTTGGCTATCAAGATTTTAAAAGCTAAGCTTCAGACTTTTCATTCCAACGTTTTAATGTGGGAAAGTTAGGAGAAATGCTGCAGCTGATTTAAGTCACGCAACACGCTTTAAGACCGCATAACTTGATGTTTCTGTTATCTTTTGTTCTTCTGTGGTCTAATAGGACACCCATTTTGATTGACAGAATTGACAGAAAAATTTGCATTTACTAGCGACGCGTTTCTACAGGCGCGATTCCGTAATGGCCTGAAAGTCAATTGACCCGATTTTATTTGCCCGCACATAAGTCCATTTGCCCGATGTTTAAACGTACAGGTGTAGGTCTTTGAGCCTGATTAGAGGAATAAACGTGAAAATACAGTGACTTCACATGTGGATCAACAAGCATTAATTTTTCCAGTGAAAATTTCACATAAAACATATCAAAGATCGACATAGTGATCATTGCACTCACTAAGGTACATGTAGACTTCATGGGCATGTACATGTAACATTAAGTGTTTTCTTTCTTTTAATTTTACAGGGCTTACATTGCAAACCGAGTGACAGACAAGTTAACCCCAATCACAGACAGAGTTTTCTGCTGCCGTTCTGGATCTGCTGCTGCCACACAAGCTATAGCTGATGTGGTTAAATATCATTTGAACTTCTTAAGGTGGGTAATTGATATTAATGGTAGGATTACTGTACAGCCCAACTTTATTGTGCATGCACAAACAAACCTATTGCATCTGAGTCAGCACTGCAGTATGTTTCCACCTGAGCTCTGAAGACCTACACATTAGGAGCAGGCCAATTTGTTGAGTTAATGTTAACCCGTGAAAGGAATGAACATGGAATAAAGATGGTGTTAACTGCAGAAAATACAAATGTAGTATTTTTTTTTTGACACTGCTCCTTTTTTTCCGCTAAAAATTAATGTCTTCTTCCAAAGCTGTTGTGAAACGTGCCACCATATTGACCCCTATCCCATAACAGTGAGTGTCCAACTCTGTCGCTAGTGAAAACCAGCCTTAACCCTTTAAACTCTAAGATCAAACTTTGAATTCTCATTTGTTGCCCCTATTCAGTTCCTACAAAAGTAGTGGAGAGAAGTTGATAAAATATCAAGCAAACTCATCCGATTATGTCTGTAATTCTGATGACCACTCTGTTTTACAAAGCATTGATATTACAAGGATAAATTTCATGCTGGTCACTCTTTGGGCTTAAAGGGTTAAGGGGAGGGGAGGGGTGCTTATTAACTTTCTTTCCCTGAAAGCAGGGCTATCAAAAAGTTTTTAAGTAGCAGGCTGATAATTAATAGTAGGTGGCTTTGGAACTCACACTAAAGGCACAAGTTTCTTAGGGCTGAGGCATCTAGGGACATTTTGAAATTTAGAGTCTCAAAAATCGTCTTTACAGGGGTTCTCAAGGGGTATTTTCCACTTCAGACGCCATGTTGTTTCGTCAGATACACGTAAGACTGGGAACAATCAGCCCATAAAATGTCCTGGACGTTCCTCAACATTCACACAGTACAAACGTTTCACAGATCTAAACCTCTTTAAATATGCGTTTAATGTCATTCAAAACTGGGAAACAGATGCTTTACAATTTTATTCGATGGTGCTTAGTTTTTGTTAGCAGTTATGTTAGAATGAGATGAAAGCAGCCGGCTAATGATGGCTCACTAGCCGGGGAAAGGGAGGCTTATTTGAGAGAAGGGGATCGATAGAGGATTTACGGTATTCCAAGAGCAATAAGATTCAGAAACAAATGGTTGTAATTTGTGCTCATTGATGCTTCTTATTATACAATTTTTTGTAGTATTGAGATGGGAGAACAGGCTCTTGTAAAGACTGTTGCAAATGTGTTCCGTGAGATTTGTTATGCGAACCGTGACCAAATGACAGCAGGTATTATCTGTGCGGGATGGGACAAGAGACGAGGAGGACAAGTAATATGACTTGAAAATCTCTTTAATTTATTCTCTATTGGATTTGTCATATTTTTGCAACTTATAGAAACACTGGACATTCTCCCACATTCAGTTGTTGAAAGCTGTTCATGTACATGATTGTATCAAAAGAAAAAAAAATTATTGTACATTAGGACTTCAACCCGATCAAAGTGTGTAATTCATTAGATATGCAGAAATTATTCTACATATGCACAGATACAGCTTTAAGAGCCGACGTTACTGTATGATAGCAACAAAATGCAGACCTCTGAAGAAGGTATCGGGTTTTCAATAAAAAGAACAAATCAATCAAACCAGTTTTGAAGTTGCAAAGTGAGGTGATGTTAAAGCAGTGACTTTTGATTGAAATTAACAATTATTTTGTTCCTTACTACTTTGAATTGCACTTTGTAGCAAAATCCAAAACTATTAAATAAAACATAATTTTTCTATCTATGAGCTGTGGATCTTTGTGTCAGAGAAGGATTTCTGTATGGCTCAATCTGTCTTATATTTTGTATTACAGTGTAGGCTGAGAAAACTATGTGTCAACAAATTTCAACAATCGATATAATTAATATCTAGATTTCCCAATTGAATGCACCCGTAATCCCTTGATGGAAGGGATACATGTACTTCTCAGGGCAAAATGAAAAGAAAAATATTGATTGCCCTTCACCCAAGCTGTTGCCGAAGTTTACTTGCACCAAGCAGGCATACCAACCCTCCTTCTCACCTACAGTAACATTAAATGTATCTCTCCCGGTAAATGTTGCTTACCTGTCAGACAACCTCTAAATATTAAAGAGATGCTTGTCCAACTGGTTGCTCCACTAGCGCTGTCGCTCCATGGTTAATTTACATTATTGTAACTTCATTTGAAAAACAAACTTCTCAAAAATAAACATGTAACAAAGGAGGCCTTTTTTTCACAAGTGTTTTTGTGATATTACCTTGTACTTTATTTCTGGTACATGTAAATGTGCCTTCATACTTGTGCAATTTTATCTGCAGGTTTTCTCAATTCCTCTTGGTGGAATGTGTGTGAGACAGCCATTTGCTATAGGAGGTGAGGATGCTACCAAATTCAGATGGAAAAGCACATTTTGAACAATATTTTTTGAAGGGTCATTTACCTACATGGGCATGACTTTTAATAATGATGATTAATAATAATTGTTAGTAAAATAATGGTTAATACAAAGCCCTCACTAACTCAGTGGTTTCACAATTTGTTGGTCACATTGGAAGTTGCATTTTCATGTAAATGTACCAATGTACGTATAGGTATTCAAATTAAGCCTGTACAGCTAGTGAGATTGTTTTGCGCATGATACTCTCTCGGGGCAGCGACACAACTGCCATGCAAAGTGAGCGGCAAAACTGCATGGAAGATCAAATTGACTTGCCCCAAATCTTCATGTGTCTCCGCCACCAATAGTTCAGCAGTAGTGGCTATGTACTAACAGCCTTTGCGTGCAACTCCCACTAGCTACGGAGGTTATACAAAAGAAAATTTTATTATGTGGGCAAGATCATGCCCCTTTTGTTTAGTTGGAGGTTAAATATATTTATTATGCTTATTTGTGCTTTGTAGGTTCTGGAAGTACTTATATTTATGGCCATTGTGATGCTACTTATAAACCTGGCATGACCAAGGAGCAATGCTTCACATTTGTCTCAAATGGTTTGTTTGTTTTTTTTATTTTTCTTAATAATATTAAATAGGAAAAAAGGAAAATTATACAGGCATGATAACTGTTACTTTGCTGAACCCCTCTCCCATTAAATAGTCCCTACCAGGGAAAGATGCAGCTACACAGTTAGGGGAAAAGACATGTGCATTATTTTGTACATTTACATGACTTGTATTGTGCACAAATATTGGTGTGATGTTTTTTTCCTAACTTCAATTATGTGTGTCCTGCGTTGCCCTGATGCTTAAAAATCCCCAAAGATGCAAAATAATTTATAGTGTGCGTTGTGTAGGATGCAAAGATCAATCGATCTGAACATGTGTATTAATCTTGAAGAAATGCCACGTTCATGTAATTTCTGTGGCAGTTATTATGGCTGTGTTTTAACAATGCATATTGCTTTTAGCCTTTGTTTGAGAGAGAATAAATGTTTCTACAGGGACAGTAAAAAATTATTAGGGAAGGGACAGGGGGACCCTGGCTTCCTCCTTAATTTTCTCAGCAAAACCCTTGATAGACAATAATGTTGAGGTAAAGAGTTTGTTGGGCAAAATTGTTCCGCTGTTGGTGACCCTTGGTTCGGTCTAAAAATACTAAAAAGGGACTTCCCCATTTTTGGGCTTGGGCTGGTGGGTAGGGGCAGTCCCCCAGACCCCTCCTCTAGTGTCACCACAGATTAAATCATGGTCTGCATGGTCAAGTACCAAGACACTTGTTCCTCTCCTACTGAATACCCTTTGTAAATAAACCTTTACTGTATTCCTTTAAGCTGTGGCTCTTGCTATGTCACGGGATGGTTCTTCAGGTGGAATTGTGCGTTTAGCTGCCATAGACGAATCCGGCATTGAAAGGAGAGTTATTCTGGGAAATGAACTCCCAACATTCTACAAGGGATAAAAAGTTGCCAGTGAATCGTTTTTTCTTTCTTTCTGTATTTAAAGTCTTTTGAAATTTAATCACTGTATGCTATCTGTGTAACAGAAATAAAGTTTCGTTCGATGGCACTCCTAAGGTAAAGCCTTTGGTTTTCTTTATGTAAGCTTGCGTTTTACAGGTTATAATTTTACAACTAACACTAGTTAGAAAGTTTCATGCGATTTCCAAACACGGAGAAGAAAGGTTAAAAAGAGGGGTAGTCGAGTTTTTCTGCCTCTTTTTAACGTTTTTGATGATTACTTATTCACATCTTGTACAGATTCTGGTGTGGCACGTATTGAACATTGAATTCATGCACATGGCCAAACTATAAAGTTGCATGTCAGTGTCATCATTACCGGTAGTTTTTATGCTGCATATTTTATAGGGAAACCAATCGGCTTCACTAAACTAACTCTTTTTGTAGTACGTTGTCATAGATAACAAGTGGCTGGGGGTAAAGTGGGATGATTATACGTTTCTGGGAAACCGCCCACCTACCCCTCCCCTAAGCCAACATTTTGCCCTAAGTGAGAAGTAAGTGTTCATGTTGGCTTAGCGGGGAGAGGTAGGTGGGCAGTTTCCCACAAACGTATAATAAGTTAGCATTATATTTCTAAAGCAATTAAGTCACAGTAGCCAGCAAATACGGCAATCTCTCCTCCCTTCTCGCCCCTAAGATGTTTTGCGGGAGAGATTTCGTTCGCCTTGGGGCGAAGAGAAACCGTTGTATTAAGGTTGCATCACACGGATTATCCCTCTCTCAAATCTATTGCAAGCCTGCCCATACAGTTCCGATTCAAATTTTAAGCTTTGTTAATGTAGTCAGCAGATTTTCCTTAAGTATTCATGAAATGAATTTTTTGTTTTTGCTGATAACACATGTCGAAATTTAAAACGATTTTTCAGAACGAAAAAAAGTTTGAAATATTGAAATATTTGACAATCTCTGACTCTTTTTGCAAATTAAAATGGTTTCGAAAACTGCTTGTTGAAATAGCTGAACAATTTTTTGTGCTATCGTAAAAATGAGAGTTATATCACACATTAACAGTACCGTCAAATTTACAAAAAATATATTAGGTAAAATCATGGAAACGGAGTTCAATCAAGCCGAGAATCAGAATTCAATTAAACTGAATAATTACAACGGCTTTTCTTTCAGAGTGATTGCTTCATGTGTTTGTTTTTCTTTATTTGGTTTTCATTTACACAAGAAGAAAAGAAAAGATTACTTTCGGAAGTTAAACAGGCTGAAATACTTCAAGAGGTGTAACTGTTTGCTAAGGTAACTTAAAAGGACAAGCGTCATATTGTGCTAGTTGTTTTCTGCAAGACTGAGTTGAACGTTGAGACAACAGAGAAACGTTACCAACCCTTTAAAACCAGACGGATCAACTTTCAAGAGGTACTGTACCGACTTGAATTTCATTTTTAATTTAAAGTAATAATAGGCGACATTTCTCGTTATCAAGATTGAAAACAGTAGTCACTTCAATGTAGGCCAAATTTAAAAAAAATGAACCGCGATATTGAGCAAACATTAGCACTAGCGTCCATTTAAACGGCCGTTTTTAATAGACTAACTTTAGAAAAGCAATTTTAAGTACCCAGTTCATTAGATTTTTACTAGAAATATTCAAAAAACGACAAGTAGATCACAACGAAGAACTGATTCAGCGCGTGTTGCCCTTGCAATTCGCTTCGATAAATCTTTAAATTTAGATGTAATTTTGGGTAAAAGGTCCTGGTACAACCAAGACTACAAGCAAAAGGTGCGAGACACGCAAATGACCACGCGCGTGACTGATCGCGCGCGCGTGCACTCCCGTCACTAAGAAAAAAAAACTAAGAGCTGACTGTTCGCCGTCTTGGTACAACCAAGTAGGAATCCTAACTTCCTTAGTACCTGCCAACTTTTGGTAAGCGTCAAGTCACGTTTTGGTCACTGAAGTGCATGTTCAAAGAGATACAATGATATAAAACTTGATCCAACCTAGATTTGCCTCGGGTTTGGATGAATGATATCAGAAGGGTATACAACGTAGCTGAGACTGAAAATGATAAAATAACTAAATAACCATTTGATGGTCAAGCCGGAGTGGACTATCAATATGAAAGAGGTTGGATGCTCGTCGCCTCGTCTGGACGTTTTAATGGCACAATTTTGTTTCATTTGGGGTGTTAACGGAATGAGATGACCTATACAGGTATTGCTTAAATCAAGACTGCTTATACCTGTGCGTGAAGTAAAAAAAAGACAATAAAATAATGGACTGAAGGGTGAAGAAGAAAAAATATTTAACGACAAGGTCTCAATAAATTTAGATTAAATATACTACAGTCGTCATGGCTGTTATTTTGCTTTACGATAAAAACGGTATTCATTGAGCTCAAATAAAGCTTGGATCACACCCAGATAGGCCTTTATCATTTGTTTAATTCCATTTTTTGGACAAGCTTCCCCACCCTCGTCACATAGTAGGCCTAATTCCAGAATAATCAGACAGACTTTCATTAATGTTTTTATCAATATTACTACTGATCAGTCGTTTATATAAACGTTCAAAATTTATTCCGATATTTTTTAAATAGTTTTTTTGACATTTCATTCAGAGCTGTACAATTTGCAAACAGTGCCACCAACCGTATCTTCAACTCGTGGTAAGATATGGGAATTACAAATTGTCATAGGAGTATTCAGTTAAAAAACTGTTTAAAAGTACGTTTTAAAATTGTTCCAAAAACAATTTAATTACTCTCATCAATTTATGGCACCACAAGACGTAAGTGTAGTATAGAGATGGAATAACTTTCGAGGTGAGCTATCAGAAATAAACCAGTTATCGCTTAATCAGTATCATTTCCAACAATTTTGGTAATTTCTTTCAAAACCAAGACGCTATCTTTATTGGAAAATGTGTTGTACTAATTCTGCAATACGTTTTTTTCAAAATCAGTTGGTGTTGCACGCTAGACTTACGGCAGACACCTAGCTAGGCCGGAAAGTCTCCGACATTTCCGACAGCTAGATTTATTACGGAAAAAAAAATGGAAAATTAATGGTTTTATGTCTGTTTATTTGCATAGCTGAGAGTGGCAAAATTAACTTAGTTAGTTACCTGACATACTGTCACAAGAACTAGAAAATACAGAGACATTTTTTATTCTTATTTATCACCCAAAAGGTTAACTTCGATTCTCATAAGGTAAAAGATCTTCGCTTCGTTACTGCTTTACTGGAGATAACAAAAGTACAAATTAGTTTGATCGGATGAAACGTTCATTTGCCTGCTTGCAGCTTACGTTTTAGGGCCGCTCTTTGTCAAGACTACAGCATTTGCCAATGTAAGGAAATTTTTTAAATTTTTCATGTTTTATGGTTCTGAGGAAGTTTTTATTTCTGTTCAAAGGTAAAATGTACTGGGTATGCCTGCTGGTTTTCGTAGCAATCCTAAAATGTACATCCGCTGGCCAAACCATCCGTGGCAGCGCTGTACTGGAACACGACTGGGCCGAGGCCTTTAAGCTAATAATAAACGTCCCAATGCAATACTCAGTTCCTGACGGCTGGAGAATGGCCGTAATATTTACGCAGCCAATCAGAAAGGTCGACGTTTGGCGCGCCATAGAATTAAAAGAGAAAACGTCCTCCGACAAGAAGACCCACGCCTTGAAAAACATGTATTTTAATACACGTTTGGCGAAGGGGGAAATTTTGACCATGGCTGTGGTGGCTTACAAAGTCAAGCTTAACTCAAAACCCGGCAATGTCACAGTTCTGTTCAAAGGAGGAAATGTCATTCCAGCACTCCCTACTCTACCCCCGGTAAGTTGAAAGATGACAATTAACGTAGCAATGTAGAAACGCGAGTTTCAAAGGACATCAATATTTCAAAACTCATCTAAGGATGCGTCCGATTGATCGTATTCCGGAATAGCGATACTTAAAAAGTTTTGGTACAAACCTCTTCTACCGTAATTTTTCGACCCCTTAAACGTTATCTACATTGGAACATCTTATTTCAGGGAGATTTTTAGATACTGCAAAGCAATGAATGCCAAAGAGTTTATTCCATTTATTCATATTCCCGACACGGTCAATCGAACAAGCCTTAACCCTTTAAGTCCCAATAGTGACCAACATCAATTTTCTCCTAACGATATCCATACATTGTCATGAGGAGGTTATGAGAATTAATAAAATGATCACCTAAGGGAAAATGCCTTGATCTTTTATCAAATTCTCTCAACTTATTCTTGAAGAAAATGTATAGAGATCAGTTTGGAGAATTTGTATGTGGATATTGGGGCTTAAAGGGTTAATAGTGGAGCTCCACGAGCACGAGCGCAGTCCCGTAGCTAAAAAAATCGGTTATATATCCATCCAAGAAATTTTGGTAACCATGTGACCGTATGTTTAACCGGCCGCCCGTCTGTCAAAGATTGTACTGAGTTTTCCTTCTTTGGGGCAATCAGAATTGACCAANAGTGACTAATGTCAATTTTCTCCTAACAATATCCATACATTGTCAAGAGATTAGGTTATGAGAATTAATAAAATGATCACCTAAGGGAAAATGCCTTGATCTTTTATCAAATTCTCTCAACTTATTCTTGAAGAAAATGTATAGAAATCAGTTTGGAGAATTTGTATGTGGATATTGGGGCTTAAAGGGTTAATAGTGGAGCTCCACGAGCACGAGCGCAGTCCTGTAGCTAAAAAAATCGGTTATATATCCATCCAAGAAATTTTGGTAACCATGTGACCGTATGTTTAACCGGCCGCCCGTCTGTCAAAGATTGTACTGAGTTTTCCTTCTTTGGGGCAATCAGAATTGACCAACAAAAAGTTGTCCACAGAAGATAAGAGGTTTAACGGTAGAACGTGATATCTTTCATTGTAGTGCGTAATTTTTGTAACTTTCCTTTCCGAAATAGTGCGGAATATTTTAAAGAAGGTTATTTTTTTTAAAAAAAAGTTCCCGTTAAGAGTGTCGTTCATTAAAATAGACTCTTGTGGCTGTCCCTGTATACGTCTGTCTGCCCGTCCGTCTATCTGCCTGCCTCTCTGTCTGTCTGTCTGTCTGTCTGTCTGTTAGTCAACCAGTCTGTCTGTCTGCCTGTCCGTCTGTCAGTCGGTCTGTGTCTCTGGACCAAGGATTAACACAGTCAGTTAGTCCGGGATGTTTGATTGACAGGTGTGACATCGATCCTTGTTTTTGGCTTCTTTCCTTTCCGGCTTGGCCTCAGCTTAGTCAGTGTACTGTGTGCTATTAGGTACCGAACTTTCACCACACCCTTGTTCGGAAACCGCAGTTGGTAACATTGGTTAGACTCTAGAAGTAAGAGCTAGAACAACTGACTGACCAAAATGTATATTACTTTTTTCCCTCAGCCAACGCCTCCTGAGCCACAGGTACTGATTCATCCACTGAAACCAATTGATGAGTCCGACTCAGGCTTCAAAATGATCCTTAGATATCAAGTGCCCGAGGCGGTGAAATACTGGTCCATAGCCCTTAAGTTCACCAAAGATATCAGCACTCGTAATTTTGATATCGACAAGGTGAAAGTGGTTCCTCAGAAAGAACTGACCAGTGACAGCTTTTGTTTAGGACCACAACCTTACAACAGGAAACTGAAGGCAAAATGTGTTCTGCGACTTGAGTTCAACTGTCATAAGGCCAAACTGTATGAAGCTGCGTCTAACGCGTTCTTTGTGTTTCATCCCAATTCAACCAAGTGCGAAGACTTTGATCTACCAAAGCCTGGACCAGCAGTTCCAAAGGAGAGCGCAGTCGCAGAGATCATTCAGCAGTGGCCGCCGAACAACTTTAAAATGAGGTTCAGTCTTCAGGTTATCAATTCTGTCCGTGGTGGCTGGAAAATTGCTGTCAAATTTTCCAAACCGGTGGCAGAAATCTCCAACATAAATAAAGCAAGATTTGCGAGCAGGTCCCAAGATAGGCACACCTTCTACATCGAGAATGTCCCAGGCCAGATTCAGAATGCTAATTTGAAACAATGCGAAAGAATCAACATCGAGTTTGCTGGAAAACTGGTGTCCACACCTGCAAACAAGCCACTGTCCGCTTTTGTGTTGTTTGAACGAAAGGAGCCCGAATACGCTGAGATCAATCCCCAAGGGGCTTGTCCCACAGTACCCCAGTTAGGGTGAATTGATAACCGATCGTATCTAAATCTCAAACAATAGTGCTTAGTAAAAAGGTAAACTTAAAAGGTGACAACTGACAGCAAATAAAATGTGCTTTATGCTACCTAGTGAACGTTAAGAGGATTATTCAGCCGGTTTCTAAACTGTCAACCTCGACCCAGGGCCTTTCACTTATAAAATGGAAGGGAGAGCCCTGGGGACGAGGTTGCTCAAATGTTTCTGGTAGGTCGGTAAAGGCGCAAAGGGACAGAGCTTATCCCGGTTTTCTTAGCATGAAGCGTGCCAAGGAGTTTTGCTACCTCCCCCCTGGACGGAATGCTAGTCCATCGCAGGGTTACCCTCTAGCGGGTACCCATTTATACACCTGGGTTAAGAGAGACAAAGTGGAGAAAAGTTCCTTGTCTAAGTAAACAAAGCGACGGGCGAGGCTTGAGTCCCGGACCTCCCGATCCGGAGTTTGAGGTGTTAGCTCCTCTGCCACACACGCCTCCACTGGGCTCACCGAAGTATCTATTTCCGGATTCAGATATTTTGGCTCGAGAAAAGGTAAAATATTCCTGAACAATTATTGGATGAAATTTTGTGACATCCAGTAGTTATTTTATTATACACTATTACTGTCCTACGGAACACACACCCAGTTTGACATTGCCCTCAGAAATCATACAGTGCGCTTGCCAACTACAGATTAGCCAATTATCTGCTAGACGAAAACTGACTAATCAGCCCTGTAGGTTGCGCTGATTTCCAGAATTAACTGTAGGGTCCTTAGTCAATGAAAAGACAGATGATGAATACATATTAAAACGAATTTCCGGCTCCCCGTTTCGTCGTGCGTGTTGGCCTCTCCCCAGCCTTTTCTCAAAACTTCAAAATACCGTCATGCATGCACGCATGCACTGGTACAGTGGTATGGCCTACACAGGGGCGTAGCCAGCCTATAGACCGGCAATAAAGCCGGACCTACAACACTTTACGACCTTTACCGCTTGTAATAAATTATGTGTTGTTGGGGTGAGCCAAAAATCTTAAGCGGACGGAATAAATTAATCGTTGCAAAAATAACCAGTTATGTTAGTTTTACTATCCTTAAGAAAACTTGCAACACGTGAAAGTCCAGGTGTTTTTGTATGTTGTTTCCTCAGACTGCCCAAAGTATTGGTAAGGTGAGTTAATTGATACCTCTAACGTTCGTATATTAACTCGATTGAAAACGCTTGCTACGCGGGCTACGGCCACCACAGCCATTGTCAAATGTTGAGGACTATTTTTAAGGTAATTTGTAGAAATTAATCGTAGTGTGATGGCTATTCAATATGCTATGTAAAAATCTAAGCTTTTAAATTATGATGTAATGTAAGTAAATTTGTAATAAACTTCAATTCTTCGCACTTTAAAATTTGCTTGGTTGATCTCACTGAGGAATGTTTACCCTAGTTTCTTACTTGCCCTTACAGATTTTGCAAAAACAAAAAAATTTACTCGAAAAACCATTTGAAGCTTAGGTAAAGGTTTTTTTTTCTGCTCACTCTTTGGACAAAATTATGATAATAATGATAATGATGGTGATGATAATGATAATAATAATAATGATTAAATTAAAAAGAGATACTAGCCTATTTTGGCTTCTCTTAAAGTCGAGATGAAGTAAAGTTTTATGTATGTATGTATGTATGTATGTATGTATTAATAATCACAGGAGTTAGGCTTCAGGAGTAATCATTAATCGTTTAATGCGACAGTGCTGTTTCATATGGTCCGAAATTGTAGGATCACACTCATCAGGCAACCCTGAAGCTTGAACTCCTGTGATTATTAATAGTCAATGCTCTTCAATTAAATGAATTGAGCGCTCTACGAAATACGTTCTACCCAGAATACAAGTAGTTATGTATGTATGTACGTATGTAATACAGGTCTGAGAGCTGAAGATTCTTAAAGTTAGGTAACTGACAGCTCCCTGTAAAATCGGTGCGAATGACAAAACATATATGAGCTATCAATAGCCTATCTAAACTACCTATGATGCTCAAAAATAATACTATTATTAATATTATAAAATTTTAAAACAATGAAATAATAATAATCATACCCAATTCCAGACCAAAATGGAAAAAGTGTACACCCGTTTTCAGAACAAAACGGCCCAAACACCCAACCCGATGGGGCGGCACATACCCATATAGCTTATATAAGAGAGTACCCCCCGGGTAAGCTCTGAATAAAACAGATGGTAGGCTATCGGTCAAATTAGGGATAACTAGACTTTGAAATAGATAATGTATTTCTGCCTGCCGTGAGTATACCCCTCCTTCCGTAACGATCCCAAATATAAAAAGACATTTGAAATATACTTAGATTCAATAGACATTGACAGAGACCCCGGGGGGAGGGGTAATCCCTTATATAAGCTATATAGGTATGTGCCGCCCCATCGGGTAGGGTTTTTGCGCCGTTTTGGTCTGAAAACGGGTTTACACTTTGCCCATTTTGGTCTGAACGGGTATACACTTTGCGCATCTTGGTCTGAGAACGGGTATACACTTTGCCCATTTTGGTCAGAACGGGTATACACTTTGCGCATCTTGGTCTGAAAACGGGTATACACTTTGCCCATTTTGGTCAGAACGGGTATACACTTTGCGCATCTTGGTCTGAAAACGGGTATACTCTTTGCCCATTTTGGTCATTTTGGTCTGGAATCGGATATAGTTTTTGAGGAAATTACGGGAGTGTATGAACGTATTCATCGTTTCAATTGCAAGTGAGTAAGAAAGAAAGAGAAGTATGCGAATTCGAAATGGATTTGAAGAATTTTTTTGTTTGCGCTCTAATCTAAGTAATGATAACGACATAATTTCTGCCTAAAGGCCATGTCTGGAAACGTATAATTATGGTTTTTAGAGGTCTGCAGGTGTGGGAAATTACATTTTTTGGTCTGAAATAGGGTCAGGATTTAAAGAACCGGGCGGCCACCCTCAACAAGGATTTCCCAGGAATACCCCCTCCCCACCCCCGGGACAGAGACCAGGGGCACCCAACGCGGGAATATAGTTCAAAATCACTTAAACATGTACATATAGGCATTTTTTATTCCCCTAAGAATTTTTCATCTGTACGGATTTTCTAGCTGAAAGTCTATTGATCCGAAAATTATAGGGATCAAAACTTACCTTTTCGAAAATTTTAGCCAGAAAAAAGGCTCCCGAATATTCTAGGTGACCATTTTAAGGTAAAAATTTGCTAAAAATGGGCAATTGTACTATTTTGCATATGTTCGAAAATTCTCGGAGAGGCAGGCAAGCGTCAAATTTTACAACAAATGTTCCGAAAATTGTAGATCTCAAATAGTCTTCCGAACAGATATTTTCGAAAAATTGACGTTGGGTGCCCCTGAGAGAGGTTGAAAAAAATGATGTAAAATAAGATGTGACAGATTCTCTTGACATGTCAATAGTTCGTGTTTTAATGCGGAGATCAACAATTCTGAGAAAAACAGGATGTAGTAAGGCAAAATCTCAACAAAGTGAAGGGACTCATTTTGATTGGTTAATTTTTGTCGGGGTCACAAAAGGGTGCGTTCGCTTCTCTCAAAAAGTCGTTCCTTAGATAACCCGAAATTTACTTAATATTTGCTTAATATTTAACTCTTTGAAACAAAAGAAATTAATTTTTAACTTTTCCGTTAACCGTAACTGAAATAAATTAACTGATAGCCGTAAAAGGGCCAAACTTTAGCCATAACGGTAAAAGCCACCACCCCATTGAGACCCTCTTACACTAGTGAAATAAATATACTTTACTACACTCTCAAGAATCTGATGTAAAATAATATGTGACAGATTCTCTAGACATGTCAATAGTTCATCATCCTACAATTCTCAGAAAAACAGGATGTTTTACGCCAAAACGTCAACAAACATGATGGGACTCGTTTGATTACTAAGATTAGTTGAGTTAGTCTGGGTCACAAAAGGGTGGGTTCGTTTCTCTCAAAAAGTCGTTCCTTGGATTACCTACAAAATTTACTTTGTATTCCGATCTCGGAATGGATATAAAGACCTTGCTGGACAATCTTCATGATGAAGTATCCTGTTCTGTGTGTATGTGTACATTCACTGATCCAAAGCAACTGCCTTGTTTGCACAGTTTCTGTCTTCATTGCCTGAACGGAATTCAACGAACGAGCGGCGTCCATGGCAAAATTACATGCCCTGAGTGTAGAAGACAGTTTCAAATCCCTGGAAGTGGAAATCCCAGCGAGCTTCCCACAAATTTTCGTATCAACAGTTTGCTGGATGTCTTGGCAATTAAAGAGTGCAGTACAGCTAACGTGAAATGCGGAAACTGCGAGAAACGGAGCGCCAAGACCTTATATTGTTTCCAGTGTTGTTCTTTCTGGTGCGAGGAATGTATGTTAGGACATAACATAATACGCACCAACAAAGAACACAAAACGCTGGCACTGAAGGATTTTCAAGATCAAGACATCGAGGCCGTGTTAAAGCGACCAGCATTTTGCCAGAAGGAACTTCATGAAAAAGAGGAGCTGAAGTTCTTTTGTAAGAAGTGTCAAGTCGCAATTTGCAACAGTTGTGCAATGACACTTCATGAAGGCCACGGCAAAATGCTCTTGCAAGAAGCTACAAATGCCCGTAAGACAAAGATAAATTCCATGATTAAATCTTTAAAAGATAAAGTACTGGAAAAACGAAAGGAGCTCGAACAATTCAACCAAAAGAGCATGGAAGTTCAAGCGCAAGTAGCCGACGTAAAAAGACAAGTGCAGACGAATGTAGACCAAATGATTGCAATCATCGAAGCGAAGAAACAGGATGTTTTTGATGCGGTCGAATATCAAGCGAAAAAATCACTTGAAACACTCTCACAGAAAAAAGGCAAAGTTGAAAATCAAGTGAAAATAATTGAATCAGCAATTGAACAAACTGAATCTCTGATGAAACGGAACTTTAGTACAGAAATCCTTGGATTCAAGGAAACATTTGATAAAATCTTACAGGAACAGGGCACCCAAGAAAACCGTGACACTGAGTGTACTCCACGGTT